CCAAGGATATTGAAGGGGAACACCGTCCAACGTTTCAAGTCGGTAAGTACCATGAGAGATCTGGCGATTCACTTTAAAGGGTCCTTCCTACTTTGGTTGTAACGGGCCGACATGAGCGCCTGTGACTCTTTTAAGGACGAGGTCTCCTTTAACAAACGAACGTGGTTTGAGCCTCGAGTTTATATATTTTTCGCTACGTCGTTTATAAGCAGCATTACGAACTTCGGCATCAGCACGTAACTCACCGAGCAGATCGAGACTGGTTCTCAAGTTTGCCGAGTTGCTTTCCTCGGAGAAGTGAGTGACCCGATATGTTGGAAAGGCAAGTTCAACCGGTATCATAGCTTCAGCTCCATAAGCCAACGAGAACGGAGTTTCTCCGGTCGAACTTCTCGTTGTCGTCCGATAAGACCAGAGGACATAAGGCAATTCATCGGGCCATGACCCTTTTGCAGCTTCAAGTCGAGTTTTCAGGCCATTCTTGATAATCTTGTTTACGGCCTCTATTTGTCCATTGGCTTGTGGATGATAAGGTGACGAGAAGAAATGCTTAATACCGTAATCTTCACAGAAACTTTCAAATCGCTTGCTTTCAAACTGACGACCGTTGTCGGTTATAATGGAATTGGGGACACCAAACCGACAAACAATTGATTTCCAAACAAAATCTACCATTTTTTGCTCGGTGATAGTAGTAAGGGGCTCAGCTTCAACCCACTTGGTGAAGTAATCTGCAGCTAGTATGGCAAACCGAACTCCTCCTTTTGCTGTCGGAAGCGGGCCAATTAAGTCAACTCCCCATTTTGCGAATGGCCATGGACTATATATTGACGTGAGGAGTTCAGGATGTTGATTAACGTTAGGAGCAAATATCTGGCATTTGTGACACCGTCGCACCCAATCCGCAGCATCTTTCCGAAGGGTAGGCCAATAGTAGCCTTGTCGGAGAATTTTATGGGACAAAGTTCGAGCTCCTTGGTGGGTGCCGCAGACTCCTTCATGTACTTCTTGTAAAATTTGTTGGGCATCTTTCTCTGATAAAAATTTAAGCAATGGGGCAGAATACCCGCGTTTATATAACGTCCCTTCATCGATGGTATAATGAGCCGCACGAACACGGAGAGCACGAGCTTCTTTCAGGTCTTCAGGTAAGGCCCCGGTCCGGAGATAGTCGATGATTGGATCCATCCATGTGGGATTTAGGGTTACTGAGGTGGCATCAATCATAGCGACGTCGGTAGAGACGGTAGATGAGGTCGCCTGTTGAGTGATTTGTACAAATTCAACGTTATCCAAGTCGGTTGATGAAGCCAGTCGCGAAAGAGCGTCTGCCTGGATGTTAGATGACCGAGGTATGTGTTCCAGCGTCACTTTGAATCGTGTTAGCTTCTTTTTAACAAGATCAAAGTAGGGCAACAGCCGTGGTTCCTTTACTTCGTAAGTGCCGTTGATGTGACTGACTAGTAATTGGGAGTCGGAAAATATCCGAAGAGAAGAAACATTCATGGACTCGGCAAAGTGTAATCCTGATAAGAGGGCCTCGTACTCGGCTTCGTTATTGGTGGCTGGAAAAGTGAATGCCACGGAGTAACAAAATACTTGCTGGTCGGGACTAACCAAGACGATCCCCCCCCCGGCTCGTATAGCAGTAGACGATCCGTCAATGTAGAGAATCCACTTCGGATCTTTAATGGATGAATCGATAGCGGGGGTAAATTCAGCAATGAAATCAGACAATACTTGGGCCTTGATAGCGGTTCGTGGCCGGTATTGTATATCGAACTGTCCCAACTCAATCGCCCATTTGATCATTCTCCCCGACGTGTCAGGTCGATGAAGGATTTGTCGGAGGGGATATGCCGTGAACACAACAATTGAGTGCTCCAAAAAATATGGGCGCAACTTTCGTGCAGCAGTGATCAGAGCGTAGGCGAGCTTCTCCATATGCGGGTATCGCAACTCCGCGTCATGCAAGGCCTTGCTAACATAGTATACTGGAAACTGCTGAAGTCCGTCTTGACGTATAAGGACAGCACTAACGGCAACATCACTTACACCGAGATACAAATAGAGGGGCTCGTCGGGAAGTGGCTTTTGCAACGTTGGTAACTGCGAGAGAACCTGTTTAATGTTGTCAAAAGCATTTTGGCATTCCGCGGTCCATTCAAACGGCTTCGTCTTCTTGATGGCGTCAAAGAATGGTTTACAATGGTCCGTAGATTTCGAAATGAACCGA